GGTTAAACGGTGAAGATAGCGAATCCCACCGCTGCCACCAATTTATTGCGCCTACTTTGGTAGTGGTAGGCGCTGCGTAAAGATTCGGGATTCGCCGTGCTGGTCAAGGGAGCTTTGGCTCGGAGAGTTTAGAATAATTATGTACTTCTGAATAGATAGAATAACTTTCATTCGGTATCTTGTTATTACACTTGTCACCTCACTCACTCGGCGACTGTACTACTGCGGTTACGCGTGTACGCGACGTGTCGTGCTTCGTCCGGAACTTTGCTGATAAAAACCCGCGGCGCCTTGTGTGCTGCCTTTATTTATACGGATCAGTATTCAGAACACAATGAGACTTGAACAATACCGGTCCATTGTATTACCAAAATGCTGATCTGTTTAACCTACTTTAGACGCAAATGACACTCGGGCTTCTAAGAACGAGTGCTCGCGTCAGCGCGAGCTGTTAATTGTTTAATAATTAAATAACTTTTGTCACATGATTCTCGAAGTGGCCTCGATTAATGGCCTTCTAAATGTTTATTATTGTTATTGCCTAATTAACCTATACTTATAGCGTTGTGATCTTTCGACACACAACAAAGCGTTGCGCGACAAAACAAGTAATTCCGTAATGGGAGCTTTCCAGAGTGTGCTTTCGAGAAGTAACGGTCGTGCGCCCGTATACCTACAAACGGACAAGGGTAAAGAATTTGTCGGGCGACCGCTACAAAAGCTTTTGGAAGAAAATGACATTCGTTTTCGCGTAGCCCGCAATGCGGATGTCAAAGCCGCCATCGTCGAGCGCTTCAACAAAACGTTGAAAGAACGAATGTGGCGTTATTTTACGCATAAAAATACACGACGCTACATCAATGTTTTGCAGAATATCGTAAACGCCTATAATCACACTTGTCATTTGAGCACCAGAATGCAATCGTATGTCGTTACGAGAGAAAATGTACGTATTGCGCGTGAAAATATAACGCGTCAATGGCGGAGGAGCAACGACGACGAAGCAAACGAGAAACGTCGAAAGACTAAATATCACGTCGGTAATCTTGTTCGTATCAGTAGAGCAAAAGTCGTCTTCGAGAAAGGATACGAGGCACGGTGGAGCGAGGAGATATTTCGAATTCACCGCATACTCGATTGGCGAAAACCACGTGTGTACGAACTGAGTGATTTAACGGGAGAAATCATAGACGGCATTTTTTACGAACAAGAATTGGCTCGGGTTGAGAAAAACTTGCAGGAGGAGTTTATCGTCGATCGTGTAATAAGAAGTCGGCGTCGCGGTAATAATAAACAGATGCTAGTTAGCTGGTGTGTTTATCCCAGTAAATTTGATTCTTGGATTTCTGCTTCGAGTTTAACCCCACTTGTTCGAAATGAGGGCGGATCAATTTTTATTGATTCTTCCCAGCAATAGTAGTATGCATTATTTTCCGGACAATGCAACCACTTCCTTCACTACAGAATTATCTCATCCTATACACTTACACGGCGAATGAGAAGTCGCACTTAACGAGATTCAATTTCCCACTACTTTTTTACACGGTGAAAACCACGGTAAAAATGTCATTAGATTCGTCGATATCAAAAATGGTCACGAGACGAGAAAAGACGGAGCGACGTTAACGTCGACGCAAGGCATAATACCGAATAGTATTTACAAAAATATCGAGAAACTTATCTCCGCTATTATTCGGCGTGCAAAAATGCGGATTTGCATATTAATTTGAAGCTAGAAGACGCTAGTGGTGGTAAAATTTTGTTCGAGATTACATGCGTTAAAAATAAATACAATTTGATTCATTATATAAACGTTTCCGATAATCTTCTACGAATACTCGATTGCGGTGGGACCATAACGACTAGCAAAATCGCATTCTATACCACGCTCACTGCAACTAATCCTAATTCCAAAGATATTTTTACAGCGCCTTTTATTAAACTCGAGTTTAAAAGGGAACAAGGTGGGCGCGTTGGAAATTTCTATATTGTCAAACCGCATGGATTGCTGCGCGGTATTCCCGATAAACTTTTTGTTTATTGTGATATTTGTGAACCTTATTATGAACCTTATTATTTGTATAACCGGCGATGTGCAAACTCCACTTCTTCAAATAGTACCGGTCGAGCTGCAACATTACGGTCATTATTACGCGTACGGAGCGAATCAAGTGAAACATTTCTCCGTCCCGCATTATATACCATTACGACAAACGTATTTCCGCAGGATTGAAATAGATATAAAAGATCAATTCGGAAAAAGAATACCATTCCAATCGGGAACGCTGATGATGACGTTACACTTTAGAAGTTTCCAGTAAGAAAAAATCTGTCGAAAAAGGTAAAAGCCGCACGCTATGACTAGACCGGAGGACCACGAATATTACAATGTACAAAACGGAGGTCGGAGTGAAGGAATCACACGAGTTTTCGTCGGAGCACCTTATTAACAAGGACACGGAATCGGTAGTATTCTCGAAGGGTTATTCAAGAGGGTGCTTTCTTATCTGAGTAAAGGTGTACGAGCGGTTGGTAAAGAAGCTTTACGCACCGGTATTAACGTGATAGAGGATGTCGAAAAGAATACACCGTTCAAGGAGGCGGTCAAATTTCGTCTCAAGGAATCGAGTGGAAATCTCAAAAGAAAAGCCAAAGAAAAAATAACTAGCTTGATGAAAGGAACAGGTTATAAAGTATCCGCGAAAACAGCTGCACTTCAGTTTCCTTTCTTCAGTCACGAAAGACGCATCGCAGTTCCTAAGCGTCGTCGTCCTCATTGTTAGACGAATAAGAAGAAATCGTCGAAAAATAGCAACGTGCGAAGGAAAATCACGAAAAAAAAAGACAACGAAGAAAAAGAAAATTTGCACAATGGGTAGAAAGACCAACAACAAAAAGTCATCCGGCACCACGAGGCGTCGTTGAGTCAAGAAACGCAGTGTAGCCGACATATTCTCTTAATCAGTGCGTGAATTAGGAATTTACGGAGCATGTCCTTTCTTCATACACATTCAAACGAGTGTTTAAAGAGTGAACTCGATCTCTTTTCTTTACCACTCACACAAACCAGCATCGAGAGTTCTCAATGGATTTATTACAAACCCGTAACGTCGCTCGCGGACGACGCACCTATAGAATTCGTCATACCCGGTCATGGGGAAGATTATCTAGATCTCACGCACACCATGCTCAGTCTTCGCGTACGCGTAGAATCTTCCCCCCTAGCAGGAGGAGGTACCGCCGCTGGCACCCCCGAGTTCAAAAACTCCCTGTAAATCATTTACTGCGTTTCATGTTCAACCAAATCGACATATATTTCAATCAAAAACTCGTGTCGTCCCCAAACAACGCTTACGCGTATCGGGCTTACATCGAGGCGTTATTAAATTATTCTTCACCCGCAAAAAACTCCCATCTGACCTGCTGTCTGTGGGGCACGGATACCCCAGGTTTAATGGACGCACTCCTAGACTCGCAAATCCTAAATCAGGCTCTTGTGAGACGCTCGCGTTACATTCAAGACGAACAGGCGGTAGATCTCATAGATCATCTTCACTGCGACGTTTTCAATCAGGATAAATTCTTAATCAACGGAGTGGAAGTTAGAATGAGGCTTGTTCGCTCGAAAGATTTGTTTTGCCTTATGGAATCTAATTCGCTGTCAAAAATACGCTTAGACGCTAGTCTGCTCGTTAGAAGAGCAACGATAAGCCCTGGTGTGTTACTCTCGCATGCGAGAATGTTGAGTAAAACCACCGCCAAATATCCTCTCACAAAAGTCGAGGTTAAAACATTTACGATTCACGCTGGACTCGTAGGGGAATCGATAGATTATGTAATACTCGGACAACTGCTAAAACGTGTAACAGTCGGTTTTGTCGATAACAGAGCGTTTAATGGTGATAGAAAAAAACTGAATCCGTTTAATTTCAAAAACTATGGTTATAAATTTCTTTTCTCTGTATGCCAATGGTATGCAAATTCCCAATAGACCGTTACAACCGAACTTCTCGAAAGACGAAGGCCTTTACATCGAAACCTACCACACGCTCTTCTCGGGAATCGGCATTCACTTCTTGAACGAGGGAAATTCTATAAGTAGAAAGGATTATGCCGAGGGCTACATTCTTTTCGCTTTTGATCTTACTCCCGACTTGTCCGCTCATTGCGCCGGACATTGGAATCTCGTGAAACATGGTAGTTTGCGATTAGAAGTGAAATTTAAAAAGGCATTTACTGCGACCGTTAATTGTATCGTTTACGCAGAGTTCGATTTACTCGATAAATCGAGACGAGAAAACAACTGGCTTTAGCAAAATTATCACGGAATCGAGTGGTTCGATGGTGAAACCGATCTTAAATGTTTCGTAATACAACTACAAGAAATAACACGTCGAGCGCGCTACATCTATAGCAGGGGGCAAGGAAAGGCACGCTATCTGCGGCGTCTACTTTCCAGAAACGTATATAATCCAGAAAAAATTTCTCCGGCATTTAAAAAGTTACCAGAAAGCAAAGAGAGCGGACATCGGTGTTCTTACCACGGCTTTCGATTTTGCTCTACAGATCATTTCTTTACGCGTTACGCAACGCTTGCAAATTGAAACGTTGGATAGTCGCTCAAAACTCTAGCAGCGAGTGTAGCATCGTTTCGAGCTGCGATGATCTTTCTCATGAGAATTGAAGCAAAAGCGAAAAAACCGACAGCGGTGTTTTTATGAAAAAAAAATAAAAATCTTGATATAATTTACAATATCGAAGCGTAGCGTAACGCTACGGAAGAAGAAGAGACGGAAGAAGAGAAGAATCAATCACGTTATTACATTGCAAAAGATATTCCGTGCGTAAAGAAAGAATATCCGATAGCAACGCTCAACAAACCATCTCCGTTAACGCACAATCATTCGAGAACGCCTACTCTACGTGAAAGGAGGTAAACCCCTGCGACTCTACTATACAAATAATTTCTCGCACGCGAGTACCGTCTTGTTACGCGACAAATGAATTCGCTGGAAATCTTACACGCGTTGCATCGTCTCAATGTCAGATATGCGGCAGTCTATCCTGCCGACAGACTACCGAGGGTGTGGACGAGGTCGACAGCCATTGTCGCTAATACAGACGAGCATAACCGCCCCGAAAGACACTGGGTCCCTTTTACATCGACGAGCATGGTACCGGCACATATTTCAATAGTTACAGAATCCCGCCACACTCGAATCAACGATTTTATCTGCGACTTCGATGAAATTCCACCACGTATCGATGGAACACCGAGCAGTTACAAGGATTTTTTTCGCAAACATGCGGTCAATATTGTTGCGTGTTTCTTTACTATTTGTCTCTTGGTTTCAACCTTGAGCAATTTTTTCGTCTTTTTACCGATGATTATAACCAAAACGAGGATTTCCGTTTCCGGTGCGTAAGGTGCGACACGTGTCATTTTAGTGTGAAGTAAAGATAAGAAAAAAGAGAGTTTTGGTGAGGGGGAGGGAAGCGGAGAGCGAGTGAGAGTGAGAGAGGAGGCTAAGTGAGTGAGAGAGAGTGAAGGGAAATGAAGGGCGTAGTGAGAAAGGGAAGAAAAAGGTCAAAGTAGAAGCAGGACGGTACGGGCAGAGAGTAAAGAATAGATAGAGTGGAATAAGTAAGCGGAGAGGGAAGGAAGGATGGCTAGTGGCGCGACGGAGCGGGATAGGAAAGAAATAGGATCGGGAAACAGAGTGAGTCAATTGGGAGGAAGAAGAGAGAGAGGTGGCAGTATAGGAAGTAAAGAGGAGTTAAGAAGAAAAAGGGAGAAGAGATATTCGTAAGGAGTAAAAAAACTCCGAGATCACCGGGGAAAGAGAAAGGGGGAGAGACGGGAGAAAAAGAAGGGAGGAAAAGAAAGAAGGAAAGATATGCAAAAAAGAAGATATAGAGGGAATAATAAAAGAAGTGATGAGGATGAGCATGAAGGAATGGTTGGGAGAAATAGGAAAAATAGGTGGAGATGAAGGAGGGGTTGGAGAGAATAGGCAAAGAAATGAGAGTGAGGGAAGAGAAGTGGGGAAGGGAAAGAGAGGAATTAAGGGGGAGTATTAAAGGGTTAGAAGGAAGAATAAAGCAATTGGAGGAAGGAGAAAGGGGAGAAGAGACAAGAGGGAAAGTAAAAGAGGAGGGAGAAAGAAAAAAGGAGATGGAAGGAAGGATAAGAGAACTGGAGAGAAGGATAGAGAGGAAAGAGAGGGAGGAAAGGAGAAAGAATTTAGTAATAAGGGAGGTAGAGGTGAAAGAAGGGAAGAGGAGAGAGGCAGTGGAAGAGATTATAAAGGATATAGGAGTGGAAGTAAGAATAAATAAGGTATGGAAAATAAGAGAGGAGAGAGAGAGAGGTGGGGAAATTGTAGGAATAAGAGTAGAGGAAAGGGAAAAGAGGGATGAAATATGGAAAAAGAAGGTGTTGAGAGGAAAGAAGGAAAGAATTTTAGAAGACTGGACATGGGTGCAGAGAAAGATGAAATGGAAATTAACAGAAATAGCAAGAAGGGAGGAGAGTAAAGGAAAGAGAGTAAGGATAGAGTATGGAAAAATAAGGATAGGAGAGCAATGGTGGATATGGGACGAGCAGGAGGGAAAATTAAGGGACGAAAATGGAGGTAGACGGAGGGAGGAACAGGGGGAAGACGCAGAGGAGAAGAAAAAGGAAAGGGGCTAAAAAGGGGCTAGAAAGGAGAGAGAGGAGAAGAAAGGGGGGAGGGAGAGCACATGGAGAATAGGGTTCTGGAATGTGGCAGGATTAAGAAATAAAGATGTGGATTTTTGGAAAAATTTAAGGGAGTGGGAAGTAATAATACTCATAGAAACATGGATGGAGGAAAAGGGATGGGAGGAAATAAAAAGAAGACTACCAAGAGGATACATCTGGGGAGCGCAATGGGCAGAGAAGGAAAACAGAAAGGGAAGGGCAATGGGTGGGATAATAATGGGGATAGGGAAGCATTTAATGGAAAAAGGTGAAAGAATAGTGACGGAGAAAGAAGGTATGATAATAGGAAGAGTAAGGGAAGGGAAAAAGAGTTGGAAAATAATAGGGATATATATAAAGAAAAGTATAGAAATTTCGTTGCAAGAATTAGAGAGTTGTGTAGAAGAGGGAGAATTACAGATAGATACAATTATAGGGGGGGACTTTAATGCAAGGACAGGTGAGGAATGGAAGAGGGTGATGAGAGAGAGAAAGGAAAGGAGGAGGAGTGGTGTAGGGAAAGAGCTTCGAAGGATAAGAGGATAAACAGAGAGGAAAGGAAACTGATAGAATTTATTGAGGAAAGAAGGTGGGGAATTTTAAACGGGTGCACGAAGGGGGACGAAGAAGGGAAACTAACATTTACAGGGGGAAGAGGTGGCTCGGTGATAGATTATGTTATAGGGACTGAAGAGGTGAGAGAGAGATTAAGAGAAAGATTAAGAGTAGGAAAAAGAGTGGATTCGGACCACCAACCGGTGGAAATATGGATAAGAAGGGAAGGAATGAGGAAGAGTGGAGAAGAAGTAAAGTAGAAAAGAATTTAAAAAAAAATTGGGGAGGATAAGCTTTGGAGGAAGAGGGGTAAAAGAGGAAGGAAATGAAATGGAAAAAAGGATAAAAGAAGCGTTAAAAGAAGTGGAAAAGGAGGGGAAGAAAGAAGACAGGACTAGAAGAGGTTGGTGGGATAGAGAGTGCGAGGAAAAAAAGAGGGTGGTGAGGAAAGAATTAGGGAAATAGAAGAAAAAAGAGAGGGGAGGGGAGGAATATAGAAAAGAAAAAAAGGAATATAGGGAGCTATGCAAAAGAAAGAAAAAAAAGAAGGAGAAAAATGGGAAAAAAGAGCGAGAGAGGTGAAAAAGGAGAGTGAGGTGTGAGATTTAATAAATAGAGAGAGGAAGAAAAATAGGAGAATAGAAGAAGGGATAGAAATGAAGGAATGGAATGAATACTTTATGAGGATATTAGGAAGGGTAGAAGGAAAAGTGGTGATGGAAGAGAGAAGAAAGGGAGAGGAAGAAGAGGAAGAAGAATGAAAAGAGAAAATAGGAAGGGAGGAGTTAAAGGCGGCAATAGGGAAGTTGAAGGTAGGAAAGGCAGCGGGGGCGGATGAGATACCGGGAGAGGTATGGAAATTTGGAGGAGAAGAACTGGAAGAATGGATTTGGAAATTGTGTAGGGAGATATGGAAAGGGAGAGGATGGCCAGAAGGATGGAAGGAAGGTATAGTAATACCGATTAAGAAGAAAGGAGAGGGAAAGAAGGTGAAAGAATATAGAGGAGTGACTTTAATGGATACGTTGTACAAGGTGTATATGATGGTGTTGACAGAAAGGATAAGGAAAGAGGTAGAGGGAAAAGAAATAATACCACAAAACCAAACGGGGTTCAGGAAGGGGCTAGGAAATGGATAACATATATGTGCTGAACTACCTAGCAAATAGAAATATAGGAAAAGGAAAGGATTTAGTGGCAGTATTCGTAGATTTGAGAGCGGCATTTGATTCGGTGAACAGAAAGGTACTATTAGATACAATGAGGGAAAAGGGAATAAGAAAGGGATTGATAAAAAGGACAGAGGAAGTGATGATAGAGACAAGAAGTAGGGTGAAAGCTGGAGGAGAGATAGGAGAAAAATTTTGGACGGGAAGGGGGTTAAGACAGGGATGTCCACTGAGCCCGATTTTATTTAATATATTGTTGGCAGACTTAGAGGAGGAATTGGGGAGGGTAAAATGGGGAGGGGTAGTACTGGGAGGAAGAAAGATATATAGCTTAGCGTACGCAGATGACATCGTGTTAATTGCGGATAAAGAAGAGGAGATGAGAAGCATGCTAGAACGGATGGAGGAATATTTGGAGAAGAAGAGTTTAGAGTTGAATGTGCAGAAAACAAAGGTGATGAGATTTAGGAAGGGAGGGGGGAGAGAAAAGAAAAGAGTGTAGAGATGGAAAGGGAAAGTGATGGAGGAGGTAAAAGAATTTAGGTATTTGGGGTACACATTTCAGAAAAATGGAGGACAAAAAGCACAGATTAGGGATAATGTAAAAAAGGCGGCAGCGGTAATGGGACAGGTATGGGGGATAGGAAAGAGGAGATTTGGAAGGGACTGGGGGAAAAGATTATGGCTATTTGACAAATTGGTTTGGACGGTGCTAAGCTATGGGGTGGAAATTTGGGGATGGAAGGAAAGAGGGAGAATAGAAAGTATGGAGGAGAGATACTTAAGGTGGGTATTAGGAGTGGAGACAAGAACACCGGGGTATATGGTAAGGGAGGAGATGCAGAGGATGAAACTGATAGTAAGGGCAAGTAGTAGAGCGAAGAACTATCGATGGTACTATCGATAGTTATCGATAGTCATCACTATCGAAAACAAGCAATAATTTTTTTTACTATCGATAGTTTTGATCAGGATAACCAACTAGCCAGTTTGTAAAACAATTTACTCTTATTGCACGTGTCACGTAAAAACTGCAGATGTACGGTATGTATATTACTAAAATTTGTATATGTCATTAAAATTTTAAATATCGAATATGTTGAATAAAATCTTATTATAATATTATATAATAGATATATTAAAAATAGACAATGAAATGTATTAAGAATTATATGATACTTTCAATTTTAGGTTATATTAAAGTTAAGAATTAGTAAAATCCTGAAACACGACGATGTCTTTGCAAAATTGCTTACCAAGAAAAAAAAAATAAAACAAATGGTATGATTATGGTAAATATAATTGACAGAAATAAGAAGAAATTTAATGCTATTGTTTTTTTTTATTTATATTTTAGAAGATTCGGAAAAAGATAAAACACCTTATAATAGTGGATCAGATGAAACAACAGCTAGTGTTAGTTCTAGTACTGATTTACCTCCACGAAAGCTTAAAAGAAAAAAAATATTTACAGTATGGAAATATTTTTCAAAATCAAGCGATTCAAGATATGCTAAGTGTATAACTTGCGGTAAAGAGTACAAAACTAGTGGTAACACTAGTAATTTAGCGGATCATATTAAAAGATTCCATCCTATATTTAATAACGTAGATTGTGATGATGCCTCTTTACCCAATACTAGTTCTAGTAGTAATACAAATTCACGACAAACAAGCTCTCGTTCAATTAGTCCTTTTTTCAAAAAATCTTTGCAATATAATAGCTCATCTCAAAGAAAAAAGGAATTAGACGAAGCTTTGGCTATAATGATAGCTACTGATTTTCAGCCATTTAATATTGTTAATAATGTTGGTTTTAGAAAATTTATTCACCTTCTCGATCCGAAATATGCCTTACCGAGTAAATTTATAAAGGAAAACATAATGAAGAATCTTTATTTTCAAGCAAAAAATAAATTTAAAAAAATATTACATGACGTAAATTATGTTGCAATTACAACGGATTGTTGGACTTCTC